ATGACAGATTTTATAACCTCTCAGCAGCAGCAGCAAATAATGATGCTTTATCTGAAAATTGTGTGCTATCTACTTGTGCTATAATCGTCATCTCCATGTGGGATGCAATTTTTTTGTTTTTATGAAGCCCCACCCTGGCTTTTGCCAGCGGCCGCAATATAGCCCGGCCATAAATATGGTCTAATGGCTGAGCGCGGTTTCCAGGACCTTTCCACTGGTGATCCTCATCCGCATGGTGGCACTTTGTGTCATCGGGTGTTTATCGCTTGTGTGATGTCCTAGTGGGGTAAAATGTACTACTACTACTACTGCTATCTATATTTGTTTTTTGTTTCCGTGTTTGGTTTGCTGTTAGGTGAGCCAGGACACATTTTCCCCGAGTTCAGTGGGCCACCGGGGTAATAAAACAGACACACAAAAAGGGTTGAGAAATACTGCTTTACGGAATCTTTCATCAATGTCTGCCTTAAAGAAACTCCGCCCCTTGCTAGCGTTCCTACCTCATGATAACTTTCCTGCCTTTCGTGCGGGTGGGTCCCACATCACCCAATTGGTGTCACCCTCTCCTTTACAGTTCTTTCCAAGCCATTAGGACACTTGATATGGTCACAGTATTTTAGTTTCTGCGACTAGACGCTGTTTATTTTCCAAAATTTTAAGATCTTTTCAAGCGCCATTTCTTTTTCTACGTGGTGCACAGCTGTCTAAGAATAAGCATTCCAGCTTAAAAGCCCTAATTTCTTCAGGAGATAGTTCATGACTCACATCCATATGTTGTTAATGGAAGATGCATTCTCTCAATATAATAAATACACTAAGGTTAATAACTGCAAGGTTTATGTGTTGGGAGTTGAAGAAGGTTAAAAGAAAAGGTCATGTTCACCCCATATCAACTAGCTTTCAGTCAAGTAAGGAAAAGGAAGCAGGGCAGCTGTCACTAGTTCATGCAAGCATGTAAATATTTTCATTTTTTTTTTTTACATATCATTTGCATTTGTGCACACACACTCTCTCTCTCTCTCTCTCTCTCTCTCTCTCTCTCTCTCTCTCTCTCTCTCTCATCTCTCTCTCTCTCTCTCTCTCTCTCTCTCTCTCTCTCTCTCTCTCTCTCTCTCTCTCTCTCTCTCTCTCTCTCTCTCTCTCTCTCTCTCTCTCTCTCTCTCTCTCTCTCTCTCTCTTGAAATGTTTTTTTTTTTTAATTAATTTAACAACACAAAATAAAAATAGAAACAAATTGCCTGCTTATTTCATTTACAACATTAATCAAACTTTTATAAGAAAGAATTTAAAGAAAATTTACTCATAAAACTCATAAAAAGCTCGAACAAAATTAAAAACACAACATACACTTTAAAATCTAAAGAAAAGTACTTGGAGATATTTTCAAATTTGCTGCACATTTTTAACATATGGAGCCTTGCTAATTATATCTTGCAACACACACAAACCATTAGGACATGAAATGCGATTGATTAAATTCCACAAAAATATTTAAAAAAGTATTTAGATGTTTGACTTACAACATTCAATCATACTTGTGATAGGACTTAAGAAAAATGTACTGATTAAACACAAGCTATGGAAAAATGAAAAAAACACAACATACACTATAAAGCTAATGGATCCACAAGCACTCAAATGAAAATTCAAAATACTGGGCTCTGTAATGCAACAAAATGCTAACTATGGAAAATAAATAGCAAATGTATTTGTAAGTGTCATCTGACAAGATGCAGAATGCTGATAGTTGTTAAAAACAATTTTTAAAAAAATTAAAAGTGGTTGTCAGTCTTAAAAACAAATGTATTCAAATGTAATGGTGGTGGCGGCTGTATCCTACCTCTTCTATTCGATACAGAAAGACCTGTTTAGTGTGTAAAAGATAGAAAGAAAAAAAAAAGCACTTTATATAATATTCAGGATAATGAGCAAACAAAATGAGAACACCTTTCAAAACTGTAAGCTAAAATTATGCAGAACATAAACAATACAGGACAGGGGGAAAATAACCAGTGTTATCTACATTAAGTTTTTTCACTACGTGCAAGAAAGATCAAAGCGAAATACATGTTTGTAAACATATCTCTATATACAGGAATAATGACAAGACTTCCATCAGTGCCTTTATTTGATGCAATACTGACTTACATTAACTGACACTGAATCATTTGTTTGACGGAGTCAGCGACATTTAACCCCACTAGGATAGCCTAGCGAGCGATTAACACCTGGTGATACAATATGCCACCATTCAGATGAGAATTTCCCCAGGCACAAGTCACAGAAACACTGTTCAACCGTAAGGATAAATTTAGGCCCCCAACTATGGTAATGAAATACTGTAACCTTAGTGTAGATGGGATGGGGGCTTTAATGTTTTTAATGTTTAATAGTGGTCCCATTTTAGGGAAGGTTAAGTTATTTTAAGTATGTGAGTACCCTGATAACATCAAATGAAAGATTTATTTTAGAAGTTAAATGAAGAATAGTTTAAAGTAAAGGCCGCATTTTACAAAATAAAGGAAAAAAATGTCAATTTTTCTTTATCAATTCAGATGAGAAAGAGAATTCTTAAAAGCTATATAAATTCTATTTTGATATACAGAAGTGAATCACGGACAGTTAGTTAAAAATTGTTTGGAAGAGTTTTATAGAAAATACCCTGGAAAGATAAAAAAAATTTAATAAGGAAGATTTGAAAGAAACTGACCCAGGAAGAGAAGTGATTGCCCACATCAGAAAGAGATAATCTACATTCTTTGGTCATGTGATGAAAAGAAGAAAAATGGAGTACATGTGACAGTAGGAAAGCTGAAGGCGAGGAAAGGCAGAGAAAGACCGAGAGAAAAGATACCGGACAGTTTGACATCATGGCATGGAAGATTATCTATGTCAGAGTTGACTGAAAGTATACAAGACAAAAGGTTGTGGATATACATGACTAAAAATGCCAAATGACATGGACTTTAAGAAGAAGTTAGTTGTTTGACAACATACGTTTACTATAAATACTAGCAGCCCAAACTGGCAAAATGTCTATGCATTTTTACTATACCCTTGACCAGTATAACACCGCAAATTAGTAACTTTAAATGAGTTTTTAGTTCTTTGTTTTTCAATAAGACAAATGTGGAGTCTTTCTGCATGCTTTAACAGATTGCTAACCATTTGTTTTTTCATCAGCTATGCAGTCAGAATGGATAAGACCAGATTCCCCCACCAAGAGCTCATATGGACACCAGAGGGGAAAAGAAAACGGGAAAGACCAAGAGAGACTCTGGGTAGAACCATCATCAGGGAAGGCTCCAAGACCTAAAACAGATGGCAACCAACCCCCAGATGTGGAGAGCTATGATCTCTGCCTTATGCAATACCTTAGGCTCAAGAGGAAAGACTAACTAACTAATTACCTAACCATTTGTTTTTTTTTAAAAAAATGGGAGCATCCAGACATCATTTACAAACAGATTCTGATGGTGTGACATACAGATATATATATACTTTGTAATGGATGTTTACACACAAGTAAATATAGAACAGTGGTAGAGAAGTCGCTGGCATGTCTGCCCCCCCCCCCCCCCCCCCCCCCCCCGCCTATAGGTTCTTCCTTTTTTTCCTTTCACATTCACTGGTTGTAAACTCTGGCAGAAAGTCCTAGCTGTTTGTCCACTTCTGGACTTTAGTATTGTTCCAGAACTTGAGTTTTACGGATAGTGTTTATTTGTATGCAGACATGCTTATTAGGAAGGCGGTAGGTCTTTTTTTCCCCTTACAATGGGGCTCTGGAACCCACACGGGGGGGGGGGGGGGGGGGCTATAGGTTCAATTCCCCACCACCGATTTCTGTAGCTGTCACATTCCGGTAAAGGTCGCAAACAGGCATGTCTGCAGTGACCTGTTTTTGAGAAGCGTTGTTTAATGTCACTTGTTATGGTCACGCCTATGCAGTGTTCAGTGGCATCTAGATATTAATATATCTAGTTTTAGTTATATATATATATAAGAGCATGGGAAGAAATGACACATGCTCCCAATCCTTCATAAGACTCATCATACTGTTGAAGAATGAAGTGAAAGAGCATGAGAAGAAATGACACATGCTTCAAATGCTTTATTAGACTCATCATCTTGTTGAAGAATGAAGTTAAACAGCATGAGAAAAATGACACATGCTCCCAATCCTTCATAAGACTCATCATACTGTTGAAGAATGAAGTGAAAGAGCATGAAAAGAAATGACACATGCTCCCAATCCTTCATAAGACTCATCATCTTGTTGAAGAATGAAGTTAAACAGCATGAGAAAAATGACACATGCTCCCAATCCTTCATAAGACTCATCATACTGTTGAAGAATGAAGTGAAAGAGCATGAAAAGAAATGACACATGCTCCCAATCCTTCATAAGACTCATCATACTGTTGAAGAATGAAGTGAAACAGCATGAGAAGAAATGACACATGCTCCCAATCCTTCATAAGACTCATCATACTGTTGAAGAATGAAGTGAAAGAGCATGAAAAGAAATGACACATGCTCCCAATCCTTCATAAGACTCATCATACTGTTGAAGAATGAAGTGAAACAGCATGAGAAGAAATGACACATGCTCCCAATCCTTCATAAGACTCATCATACTGTTGAAAAATAAAGTGAAAGAGCATGAGAAGAAATGACACATGCTTCAAATGCTTTATTAGACTCATCATCTTGTTGAAGAATGAAGTTAAACAGCATGAGAAGAAATGAGACATGCTTCCAATGCTTTATTAGACTCATCATACTGTTGAAGAATGAAGTGAAGGACCATGAGAAGAAATGAGACATGCTTCCAATGCTTTATTAGACTCATCATCTTGTTGAAGAATGGAGTGAAGGACCATGAGAAGAAATGAGACATGCTTCAAATGCTTCATTTGACTCCTCATCTTGTTGAAGAATGGAGTTGAACAGCATGAGAAGAAATGAGACATGCTTCCGGTGCTTTATCAGACTCTCACCATATTGTTGTCTACGTCCACTTTAACCATCTCCAGCTTGGCCGCCCCCTTGCTGTCCTTGTGTTTCTTATCTGCCACTGAGCCCTGACTGGGAGACTTGTTGAGGCCGATGGTGGAGCCAAAGCTGCTCTGGGATATAGAATTGAGCAACCCCTTGTCATGCTGCTGGTGTCTGTTAAGATTACAGCATTGTAATGCACAGTTAAGATTGACAATGTAAAAACTTGTGTTCAGCCAAATGCATTTAGGACTACATATTTTCAAAACTATAGGATTATTTTTTTAACAAAAAATGAAACTGAACTGAAGGCAGACTTTAAATTTTTCCCAGATTCTAATTGTAGTAAAAAAAAAAAAAGAAAATAGTTAATTGTAGTATCTTTTCATAAATCCTGTAATTCATTCCCATCTCAAACTTTCACATTCTAATTGTAGAATCTTTTTATACATCCTATAATTCATTTAAATCTCCAATTGTCATATTCTAACTGCAGTATCGTTCAACACATCCTGTTAGTGATTCCATTCTGAAACTGTCATATTTTAATTGTATTTGCTATTAATACATCCTTCCCACTTCAATTTTACCAGACTCTAACTGAAGCATATTTTAAACGCATTTTGTTATTCATCCCATCCGAAACTCTCAATTCTTTTTTTTCTTTAAAGAAGTCTTCCACTAAAATTGTTCTTTTATCATGCCCTTAACATATGTACATTTGTAAGTACAAGGGACATTAGAAAGTAATGCACCCCCCCCCCCCCCCCCCCCCCCCCCCCCCCCGAGCTGTTTATTCAACAAGAGTGAAATTTAAATGCAATATACAAGAATATGTCATGTACACATCGGTATTATTCAACATAATCCTGATCAACTTGTACAGTTTAGCACGAAACTATATCAATCTATACTATCTGTAGAGTAAAGTCACATGTTATATCTGAACTATACTGATTTGGCTTCCTTTCTAATACCCATCCATTTACTCACATTCCTCTTGGTCTGTCCATTAGTCTTATTGCTGCTTGTGTGATCACTACTATTCTTAATTTATTCCACTCTTTGCCTATACTGACTGCCACAAGCTATGATAACATTAAGTTGATTCTGCCATTACAGTATTATGCAGTATATAAGAGATTAATGTATTATGCTATGATTTGTGGCTTGTACCTGTTCTAAAATTCCTTGGACAGTAAAAAGAGCAACCTAAATGTTTGAAAGAGGTGAAGGCTCGAAGACAACTCATCACCTATATCAGAAAGATATATCATCATTTGTTGGTTGTGTTATGAGAAAGGGAAAGCAGAACATGTTGTGATCACTGGAAAGATCTGTGGAAAGAGAGACAGAGGAAGACAGCACGATAAAATTCTTGACAGCCTTTTGTCACAGCATCGAAGGGTGTCAACACACAAACTTATACACGCAGATGAGTTCGCAGATTGTGGAGAGGCATGATCACCCACGCCAGTTGGAGAGGCACTTGATGATAACCTGTTCTAAAGAATTAATCCACGTGTTTCTAAAATGACAATGTACATGAAAATGTGTGGCTTTGTGTTGTCCCCTATATTAGCAATATGATTTATCAGGTTTTTAGACAGTCCTATGATATTTGCACCACAGAAGTGATTAAGGTCTCATCATGTAGTGCCCCCAAAGACAGCAGTTGATGCAACTACAGCCAACATCCACTGAGGTGATGCTACAATGTTTGATTTTAATATTAGCAATAAGCCAAAGTTGTAAAGTAGGTTGAAATTTAAAGTTAATTTTAGGAAATAAAAAGCAAGGAAACAGTGATATCTTTGGTGAATATGCTGCATAAAGTAAAAGATCCGTTTCCACGTTTAATGGATATATGATGCTAACATATCAATAACACTAGCCACCTTTACTTACCCTAACACTTCCCGTTACTTACTTCAGGCTGGTCAATCTGAGAGCCAGGTAAATTTTTTAGCAACTGCCACTTTAAAGGGATTTGAATATTTGACTAATAAGACTGCAAATAAATGTGCTAGCTGATGCACTACTGCAATATCTTGCATCCTAGAAAACTGTTACCTTATCTGTCATAATATATAACTGTTATGTTATCTGCTATCCCAGATAAATGATACCTTCTATCTCACAGAATATTTACCTTAATATCTATCACAGACAAATGCTATCTTACCTTTTATCCAATACAACTGTTACCTTATCTTTTATCCCAGATAACTGTTACCGTAACTTATCCCAAAAAATTGTTAGCTTATCTTCTATCACAGACAACTTCGATCTCCTCTTCAATTCCAGACAATCGTTATTATTTCCATCACAAGCAATTGTTACCTTATCTTCTGTCACATGCAACACTTACCTTATTTTTTTATCACATACAATAGTTACCTTATATTTTATCACATACAACAGTTACCTTATTGTAAAACATTTAAAAGCCATACAGTCTTCTATCACTTATAAATGTCACCTTATCTTCTATCAAATATAACTGTTACCTTATCTTCTATCACATACAGTTGTTACCTTATCTTGTATCACATAATACAATTATTACCTAATCTTTTATCACTGACAAAGTTACCTCATCTTCTATCCCAAACAAACGTTACCTTATCTGTTATTCCAAACAAATGTTATCTCATCTTGTCCCAAACAACTGCTACCTGATCTTCTATTCCATACAAATCTACCTTATCTTCTATCCCAGATGACTGCTGCCTTATCTTCTATCCTAGTTTACTGCTACCTTATCTTCTATCCCATACAAGTTTACCTTACCTTCTATCCCAGACAACTGCTACCTTATCTTCTATCCCATACATCTACCTTATCTTCTATCTCAAATGACTGCTACCTTATCATCTATCATAGACAACTGTTACCTTATCGTCTATCCCAGACAACTGTTACTTTATCTTTTATCCCAGATAACTGTTACCTTATCTTCTATCCCAGATAACTCTCACTTTATCTTCTATCCCAGAAGACTTTAACCTTATCTTCTATCCTATTCAACTGCTACCTTATCTTCTATCCCAGACAACTGTTACCTTATCTTCTATCCAGACAACTGCTACCTTATCTTCTATCCCATACAAGTCTACCTTATCTTCTATCACAGATGACTATCTTATCTTTTATCCCAGATGACTGCTACCTTATCTGCTATCATAGACAATTATTACTCTATTTTCTATCCTTAACAACTGTTATCATATCTTCTATCCCAGACCACTGTTATTTTATCTTGTCTCAACTGCTATATCATCTTCTATCCCATACAAGTTTACCTTGTCTTCTATGCCAGAGGACTGCTACTTTATCTTCTATCCCAGACAACTGCTACCTTTTATCCTAGATGACAGCTACCTTGTCTTCTATCTCAAACAGCTGCTAACATATCTTCTATCATAGACAACTGTTATCTCATCTTCTATCCAAGACAACTGTTATCTCATCTTCTGTCCTACTTATTTTTCACCTTATCTTTTATCCTAAACAACTGTTACTTATCTTCTATCCCTCACGTCTGTTACTGTATCTTTTCCCAAACAAATGCTACCTTATCCTGTTCTAAACAACTGCTACTTTATCTTCTTTCACATGCAAATATACCTCATCTTCTATACCAGAAGACTGCTACCGTGTCTTCTATTTCAGACAACTACTACCTTATTCTCTATCCCAGACAACTGCTACCCTATCTATCCCAGATGATTGCTAACTTATCTTTTAATGTTACTTAGACGCATGCTATCAACAGAGAGATATTACTTAACCCTCTTCAGTCTCTGAGAAACCCATTTTGTCCCATGTTTCTTAAAATGCCAGACAGTTATAACTTTTTCTATTTCTAACACCCACCCCCCCCCCCCCCCCCCCCTTTTCCCATTTTCTTAAAACTAATATTTTTGAAGTATCAGCGGCCTTAAGGGTCCTTTACTCACTTGATTTCACTCTTTCAGCACCAGAAAATGCACTACATGTTTACTGATTACTAGATATAGTTCCTACATTTCATCTAACTTTTTTGTGTTTTGTAGCTGTTTTAGTTATATATGTAAAGACCTGACAATTATCCTTATAAAGTATGCAAACTTTGACATAAACAATTCTAAATAAACAGCTGAAAGAGTCAAATATACGATTAAAAGCTGGCAAACATTCTCCATATATAATTATGATACTTGGTTTAATTTAGTATATGAGACAAATTTGGAAATAATGAAGAGAGACAAGCAGATATGTATGTAATAGAACGCTGAGTACAAGTGACCATCTGGTGCACAGCAAAGACAACAGTTATGGGCCAGTAGTGTTATCACTACAAATATGAAATGACAGCACAAGACAGAAATACAGTCAGAACAAATTGCTATCCATAACTGATAGGTATCCACACCAGCCAGCAGTTCCCCATGCAGGTTTTAGGGCCTTAAGGGGGAGGGGGGAGGGGGGAGAGGGAAGAGAGAGAGAGAGAGAGAGAGAGAGAGAGAGAGAGAGAGAGAGAGAGAGAGAGAGAGAGAGAGAGAGAGAGAGAGAGAGAGAGAGAGAGAGAGAGAGAGAGAGAGAGAGAGAGAGAGAGAGAGAGAGAGAGAGAGAATATACACCCCCTCCTTCCATCCCAACAAGCAAGAGCTAACAGGCAACTAATTAAGGGTTTGAGAACAATCACATGTGCTGGGCTGGGCTACAAGGTGATGATATTGCAGGGAGCTGCAGCACTGCTGTAAACCATAACCCAACATGCCAACTGCCCTTTTAAGAAAAGCTGATGAACAAATACCACCACAGTAACTAATATTTAAAAAGTTTACAACATTTCTAATTAAACAGAGTCATGGCAGCACAGTGACCAGACGTTTGTACTCTGACTTTAAATTAAAAACCCCTAATTACACACCTTCTATGACATGGTTGTTGCCAGGGGGGAGGGGGGGGGGGGGTCCTATTATTTTTTCTCGCTACAAAATGGGGTCCCAGAAAACCCTACAGGGAATAATCTCATGCAAAACTACTCCTGCATAAATCATGTTATGAACAAGACTACAAAGGACATGGCATGAGCTGGTTGAGGACCTGTGCTATACTCAAAGAAGCAAATCTTTTGGCTGCTGTCAAACAAGCAGTTTACATTTGTTTTCTTTAGCATTCTGAGC